CCCCCGCCTCCCTCCGCGCTGACCCCCCGCCTCCCTCCGCGCTGACTCCCCTGCCGAGCACGTCCCCTCGACACAGGAAGACGGCGAGGTCCGCCCCGTCTCCCGGGTGTGACCCTGGGACCCACAGGAGCCCAACACCCCCAACCGCCTTCACCCCCGCCGACCACAGCACCTGCCACGGGGGAAGAGCCTGTGAGGGTGACCTGGGGCCTGCTGCTGTGCAGCTTGAAGGACACGTGGCCCAGGACGACGTCGATGGTGTCAATGAGGCCAGGCACCAGGGTCTTGTCCTGGGAAGAGAAGTGGGATGAGGCCCTCTTTGCCACGCGGTAGCCCAAGGCCGGGAGGGGCCCAGTGGACGCTGCCCTGCATAGCCCAGAGCCTGATCACATGTGTTTCTGCCATCTGTCGGGGGCGAGTTGCCCTCAGACGCACAGGTTGAGGAGGGCCAACCCAGCCCCACGCTGCCTGCCCCTCCCGGTCTCCTGAGCGCACGGGCTGCGCTCCGGGAGAATCTAGTACGCAGGACACCGACGCCGCGGCGGAGCCCGGCCTTCTCCTCTGGGCTCCCAGCCTGACTTCCATCCACCAGGCGGAATCAGCATGGGAGCTGCCTGCTGGCGTGCGGGGTGGGCAGCCGTTCGCACTTTTCCTGTGCACACCAGAGCCCACAGGGCTCCATGGCTTTGGGACTGCTCACGTGTTTCACCAGACTTGAATATTTTGCATTCAAAACCAGAAGCCCATCTGCACAGGTCCCCCACGGGCCTCCTCTGAGGACTCCCTGTCTGCGGCCTCTTCTCAAACTCCTTCTGTAGCTCAAGCCCGGTGGGACGTGCGTTTTAAAGGAAAATCTATTTCTGGTTAAGGCTGGGTCAGTATTACACTCCGGGCCCTCTCCTCGAGCTTGGCTGGTGTGAGGCCTAACCTCACTCCACGGGAAGCTCTTCCCATAAAAAGGCGGTCAGCAGGAAACTGCTGGGCACGAGTGTCACTAGGGCGAGGATGAGCTGTCCCCGCCTGCCCAGCTGGCTGGCGCTTTCAGAGGCGCCTGACCGTGAGGGTCCGGACAGTGTGAACCGCACTACGCCCCTGTGGCCGGGCCTTTCCAGCTGAGGCCCTGAGCTGGACTCTCCTGTCCCGCCTCTGCCGACACCTTGGGAGCTGCAGATGGCAGCAGAGGGGCAGAGCCAGGGTCCCGGGGTGCAGAGTTGCAGGAGGTGGGGTCTGCCTCGACCGCAGCTCAGCCCAGCTCTCCCAACCAGCAGGGTGCTGGGTCGAGCACTCCACATCCTGGTATTCTTGATGGAACTGGGGACCCAGCTCAGCCAGGCCCAAGACCTGAGTCTGCATGAATGGAACCCCGAGCCCCACAGTCTACGCAGTGGCTGGGCACCTTCCGCTCCTGGGCTCCGGATTTCCAGTGACTTTTATTCTCCATGCATATTTATTCTCCATATTTCCCAATTTTTCCACAGCCATTTATTGACTGATATTACTTTTAAGTAAATGAAATCAGTGGTTTTTTTAGCAATCAAATGAAATCTTCAATTCCCTCAAAGCAGGCAGCAAGGAGACACGTCCAGCCCACTCCAGTCAGAGCTGGATCGTCCCGGGCTCCGCTTCACTTGACCCAGTTACCTTTCACCATCAAGCGCGGCTCTGATAGCTGCTCAGGAACGAGGGGGTGGCAGACCTGTGTGAGCTGAGACCGGGGGCCCAGCCCACCTTCAGGAGGAAGTACCTCTTCCGCCCTGTGTGCTGGCCCTCATGGTCCCCACATCCCCACGAGAGGCCAGGCGCAGTTCCGGGGAAGATCCAGGGACGCTGGGGTGGACAGGTGTGACCTTCCCCAAGGGACGTGAACCAGACCGTGTTCTGCCACTTCTATGTGACAGAACATCCCCTGGTGCACACGTTTTGAAGGTCACAGTGCTTTGTCTCACCTCTGACGCCACCGTCCAGCTGGGCAGCTGTAACACCTCGCCCACGGTCCACAGGAAGGTCTAAGGGTGGCAGGATGACACTGTTAGCCACACAAGGCCTCGGGGTCCCCGCCCCCAAGGTCCCTCCCCACCACCACTTGCTGGTGCAGACAGCCAAGAGCCACAGCAGCTCCCCCAGAGTATTAAGGCTCCAGCTGCATCTTACGGCGTCGTCTGAGACTTACGCTGTGACAGCGCTCCTGAAGACAGTGCCCACTGGCCATGTGGGCATTGCCATGAGCTCTGGCGGCTGTGGCAGGGCCCTAAGCCCACCGCTGGGACAAGGGTGTGCATGACAGAGCAAAGGCTTCGGAACATGCTCTTCTTCAGGACCACGTCTGGTCCGGCTCACGGCTGTACCCCAAAATGACATTATGCTTTAACATTTTCAAATTGGGTGTGAGATTTAAGTGACAAGTGTGGATTTCCTGCTCTCTTTTGTGAGACAGCAGAAGTCTGGGCCACTTCATCCAAATGCCTGCTGGCTGCCTCTGCCTGGCCGGCCTCACCCTGCAGCACCCGCCTCCTACCATCAGACCCAGAATGAAACCCAGAGTCTCATGAAACGGCCCAGCCACCCCAAAGCAGTCACATCTTCCCGCACCTCCAGACACTCGGTGTTTACAGAACACGCTGTAGAGACCCCTCTCTCCCAACCGTACTCTGCAGCTGTGTGCACAGACCCCAAGGGCGAGGCCGTGGAACCAGTGATACAAAATGCTCCTGCCCTCACGGGGCTGAAGCAGAGCTCGGGGATTTATGTTTTATACCGCAGTGGGGAGCAGCAGCTGGGCCCTCAAAGCCACTCAACTCTAACCTTCTGGGCCACCCCTTCTGGTTCTGTAAGGGAAGCTCCACACCTGGGTTATTACAACAGAAATTCCCAATTTGAAGAAGTGAGTGGCTAACTGAAATTCAGAGGGGGATTGTGTGCAGAACAATTATAGACATCCATGGGATGGGCGCAGCCCTCAGGTCAGCAGTCTGAAGCCTCTGCGTGGACCGGCACCAGGGTACCTGCCTGACTCAGGCATCCTGGAGACGCATCACGCAGGTTTATCCAGGTGCCCCTGCGCTCTGGTCTGGGGAGAAATAAAGGTCCTCGGCACCTCTCCAGGTTGTCCGGGGTCCTCACTTCTCACTGCAGTCGCACAGGGAAGTGGTGAGGGCGAATGTCCCGCCCCAGGCAGCCAGGTGACTGCCAGGCTGCTGTGCTCCTGACCCCGAGCTGTGGCTCGACTGGGCTGGATTTCTAAACCTCGCATGAAAAAGTGTAAAGTATCTTAGTAAGAACTTTGAATTAACTGCATGCTGAAGTGACACTGTTTTAGATAAGCTAAGCTAAGCTATCTAAGTTTGTTGGTTGAGGCAAGGTCTCACTCTGTAGCCCAGGCTGGCCTCCCACCTCAGCCTCCAGAGTGCTGGGATTATAGGCATGAGCTACCATGCCCAGTTAAAATATATATTAACTTCACATTTTCCTTTTTTTAAAAATGTGGCTGCTAGAAAATTTTAAAGGACAAATGTGGCTCATATATTTCTGTGGACAGAACTGCCGTAGCCAGGAGCCAGCACATTACAGCATTTGGCTGAATCCGGCCCATTGTCCATCTGTATACATAAAGTTTTATTGACACCCATTCATCCTTTACATGCTGCCCCTGGCTGCTGCGCCCTCCGGTGGCAGGGGTGAGCAGATGGCCTGTGAAGGCTGCGCCCTTATTTCCGAGCCCTTGAAGTCTCTTGAGTTTGCAATCTCTAAGTCTGTGAGGTCCAGCAGAGAATAGAAGGGAGCAGCAGGCAGAGGAAGTCACTAAGCTCAGACAGAAAGTGCTTCCTGTGCAGAGCTGCGCTGGTTTCTGGGCTCCACGGACACAGCTTGGAGGCTCTGGAGCCACCTCGGCCTCTGCAGCCCCACACTGGGCTCAGCAGAGCGATTGCCCCACTGTACCTGGAGCCCTCGCCTGCTGGGCCTGCTCCCTGCATGCTGTGCTGTCCCTACTCCCTGTGTCTGCAGACACCCAGGCCGCAGCTCTTGCTGCAGCTCTGCAGAAAGCTACACCAGCAGCTCAAGGAAGCCAAGGTTTGTTAGAGACCACTATGAGACAGCTCTGAGCAGGATTTAATATTAACCAATGGCTTTCCAGGTTTACCTGTGAGGGTGCCCGAGGCCTAGGCTCATGACTGGAGATGGGCAGCAGATTCATAGTAAGTGAACCTCTGTGAGTCCCTGGTCACCACTGAGGCCTGTATTGACCTGCATAGTTGTGACACCTCAAAGGACAAGACAAGGCCGCAGCTGAGGACATCTGGCTCCAACCCCAGTTAACTAAAAGAAGGCTATAGCTGCAGGCATCTCACTTCTGCAGTGAAGGCCTTCCTAGAGATGACAGAGTTCTCCTGAATTAACATAATGTATTACTTGGAGAAGTCCTTAGAGGGATTCCCGAGTCCTGCCCAGATTCCTTCATTTTCTTCAATATTCCCCTACTTTATTTAAAAACCTAATAAATATGGGCCACCCATATTTATTAAAGGTCCTAATAAATATCAACCTTTATTTCTCCCCAGGGAAGTTCTTTGTCTTAGCCCCCAGAATCTTGAATTCTGTGAGAGGGTTTTTGATCCTCTCAGAGCCCTGAAATCACCTCATTTGTCTCATTTATTTAAGCCTTCACTGTCTCCTCATTCGGGAGATTGTGGGCCTGATCAGTCTGCAATAATTAGGGGACATTATTAACCAATAAAGGTTCATGCTTGCCATAGTCCCACAGTGCCCTGGCACCACAGACCCTTCAGTTAGTGACCAACAGGGCACAGGGCCAGGCTGACCCCACAACAAGCGCACACCAGGCTGGCAGCCCCATGAGGACTGGGCACGGCTGGGCTCGCGGGACACCAACCCCAGCTGCAGCCAGCACAGCACAGGGCTGCACAGAACTGGTTACCAAGTCGAGGCTGCGGGGAGCTCACAGCCGAGGCACCTTAACCACCCATTCCATCACTAGTGAGCTCGCCCACTGCAACTCCGCAGCTGGAGACGAAGGCGTGAGAAGTGCTCACACCCGCCCTGGAGCTGCCTCCTTCCCTACACAGCCAGAAATGAGGGACCGCGACTCAGCACCCACTGCACACCTCTGAGGACCACCCACGGTGACCACTCCGCTCGGAGGGCAGGATGCCAGTACCAAGAGCAGGCGCTTATTGTGCTCCGACTACGTATACTGCTGTCTCACAGGCAGGGCGCTAGTACAAAGTGGACACTTGTTATGCACACTCTGTGTACGACTGCTGGTTAGGGGACAGGGCACAGGTTCCAAGAACAAGTGTTTATTAGGTGCCAACTGAATACAAGGCACCGCTTGTCACAGTGATCCCATGGAGCCTAGCTCCACAGAAACAAGTGCAGGTTAATACTAATGAAGCATTTACTGCATAGCAAGCCCTGTCCCACTGGGCCACACAGGATCCTCCATTTACATGCAGAATGTCTATGAGGTTATCCCAATTCTGTGGACCCAAGCCTGCCCTTCCTGTGGGAGCTGGAAGTACTCCCACAGAGGCAGCCCTGCCTCCTCAAGAGGTCCTTCAGATTGGCTGAGCCATCACACTAATTTTGACCTAGTGATTGGTCTACAAGTGGTCATGTGATCTAGCTCTGACCAATTAAATGTGTAAGGTTGCTGCAGAGTATCATGGGAAACATTCTGTCCTATATATAGGAGCCACCGGCGCTCCCCTCTCCAAAGCTGTGGGTGAGGCGCTGGGCGCTGCCCATTTCACATGAGATGGTGCCTTCACTGTTAAGGGGGACCTGTGAGCTGTCCCTGGAGCACAGCATCACGCAGAAGAGGCTACCCAGCTTCCTGCCAACATCACTGGCCTCTCATGGAAGCCACACTCTGGGCATGTGTCTCCTCACGCAGCCTCAAGCACCAGCTGAGAGCCTGGCTGCCCGACTCCCCATGCCCGGTGCCAGTCCCTCCCTAGTGGTTTCCAGAACCCACATCTCTTCTACCCACAGCCACAACTGGGTATGGTTGCGCGTTGTGAGTGGATGAGGTCTGAGGCATCTCATCCTAGCTGGGCAGCTAACAAGAGCCTCCTCAGCACACGACTGTGCATTTCCATGGGCGTCTTCAACTGGGAGACCAGGGAGAACTAAGAACCCTGGAGACGGGCGAGGCTCGGCGTGCATCAGACTGTCTACGCACCTAGGAGCCCATGCGGTCCCCAGGGGGCACCTCCGTGACTTCATAAACTTTCCTGTGTGCTGTCGGGGAGCCCGTCTCTGACACCCCTTCTCTCTCCACACCAGCCAAAGGCCCTGGCACAGCAAGACCCTACAATCCCCCTCTGCCTCCACCTAGAGAGGATTTTGAGGAGTACAAGAAGGCATTCTGGTTTGAGTGCCCAGCCTGCATTCACGGAACACATGGCACAGTGCTGAGGCTCCCACCGCGTGCAGACCGTGGCCCTGGCCCACCTGTCAGAGCCCCAAAGCTACCTTTCTCCTGATGCAGCAGAGTCCAGACCAGAAATATTGAGCCCAAATCCCTCAGGGGCTCAGTGGATGCTTGAATGCACCAGGCAAGCTGGGCATGAAGAAAATCAAAGATGCCAGGCCTGGAGGGGGCACACCTGCAATCCCAGCACTCAGGGAGGCTGAGGCGGATATGAATTTGAGGCCAGCCAGAACTATATAGTAAGACCCTGTCTCAAAAAAAAAAAAAAAAAAATCGAAAATACACGTCCACTGAGCTCCATGGTACTGGTCAGCTGTGGTCAGCCCACGAGGAGCCCGAGACCTGACTTTTGTACAAAGGCTCCCACCTCTTAACACCGGGCTGTGGCCGAGCATGTGCTGGCCCTGTCCCCCAGGCAGGCACCACAGACCTTTACCTCAGTGAGGTTCCGCGCTGTTTCCTCCGAGAGAGACTTGTTGGGCAAGCGGAGGGACACATTCTGGAGGTAGCTCAGAGCCTCTCCGGGCTGTGAGAAGTTCTTCCTCTCCTCTGTCAGGCTGGCTATGACGGGATGGTAGGCATCTGTGGGCATCTGAAAGAAATCACCACCGGAGTTCCCGGTGAGAACCAGCGCCAGAGGTCCTGCAGGGTTCTGCGTGTCCTGCCGTGGGCCCAAGGCTCTCCAGCCCACGATGACGGCGACATCGCCACACCCCAGGGCTTCTGTGAGCACCTCACACATATCACCATTTCGTCTGCGTGCGAGGCAAGAAGGGCCCGTTCGGGAGATGGTGCACGGCACAGACAGCCGTCGGAGAGAGTGGGGAACCCGCATTTGAACCCAAGGAGACTCAGATACCCGCACTGCTGCTGAGCTCGCAACAAGCACAGTCCTTTGGCTACAACGGCTAACTCAAGAGGGCGATGCTTTCTGTGCAGACTGATCCTTTCTTCTGGAATCAAAGGAAAAGGCACAACAGGAAGCTGAGCCCAGGGCAGGAGACCGTTTGGCGGTCATTTGTGCCTGTAATGGCCTCCGTCCCTTTGCACACTGAGGTCCCTGCCGCAGGATCTGGGCCGTCTGCCTTCCATCAGCTCTCAGGGCCAAGCACTGCTCTGCACGTTGGCTTCTATTTTATTATTTCTTTCCCGTACCAGTACGAGCGAGCCGGGGTTCCTACTCCAGCCCTCCGGGCTCACAGTGCAAGCAGAAACACAGGAGGGGCCAAGGGAAAGGCGCAAGGCTCACCATGGCGTTGGCCGTCGGCGCCGTGAGGCTCGGCAGTGGGGAAGACAGCAAACCATGCTTTCCTGGAAGAGATAAATAAAGCTTGAGGTGGGACTAAGACCTCGCTGCCCTGTTTGTTTGTTTGTTTGTTTGTCTGTTTTTGAGACAGGTCTTGCTATGTATATCAGGCTGGCCTTGAACTCTTGGCAATCCTTCTGCCTCTGCCTCCCAAGTGCTGGGATTACAGCCGTGTGCCACCACACCTGGCTCGTCGCCCTGTTTGAATAACACCCTGTTTGAATAAAGTCTGTCCTTACTCAAAAGTTTGCCAGCTGGAGACACACCTGACAGAGGCTGGGGCTGTTTCAACCAGAAGTGCTGCTGGAAAGAGGAGGGTCAATAAATCAGCCTAAGAGGTGCATCACAGGAACCTTCCCAGCTCAGATTACTTTTCCATTTATACTCTGAACTGCTTTCACGGCATTCATGCGAGTCATCATATAAAAAGGTGATTTTTATGGAAGGTGTCACCGATTTAAAACAAATAATGAAGAACAGGCTTCAGCTGCACCCGGACTAGTCAGAGGGAAGAACGCGGATTTGGGACTGGCTGGGCAAGGACAGGCGGCCCCAGAGGAGTTGGGGAGATCGGCGTCCCCAACCCCTCCCCGCAGCGCCTGGTCCTCCGTACTGGGACGCCAGGCAGGCGATGTGCCCTGCACATAACAAAGCGGCTCGAGACGGAGGACAGACTGTGACTCCGACTCGCTGCCCTCTGCCCGCCGCCCCCCCAGCACCCAGTTCTGTCTCCCATGGGGCCACAGTCTACTCCCGTCCAGGGAAGGCGTCTCAAGTTACCCTGGGTGGCCTAAGGAAATGACCTCATCAGCCTCGCTGGCCCAGGAGTGGCTGTCCCCTGGCGGCCGGCGGACCCAGACGCCACACGGATGGGAGAACTGGGCCTCAAGTGCGTGCTCTCCCGCCCCGTGACCTCCCTTTGGTGTCCGGGAGTTACACAGCAGCCACATCACACCACGTTTCACTCAAGCAAGGCTACAACAGGAAGAGCCACATGGTGGAGGCCACGGGAGGCTGATGGGACGTGAGACTCGGCCACGTCTCAGCCCCAGGCTCATCCTGTGAGCAGCTGCCTCACAGGCCCCTTTGACCCATTCTGGTGGCAGGGTAGTGCCCGGCCGGGGGGCAGAGGCCCGTGGTCTACCTTAGCAGGGAACAGGACCACGCCACGTGGACGGGGCACTGCGCCAGCTCCTGGGGAGAAGAGAGTGTCCCCCAGACAGGCCCCTCACAGAAATGAGCTATCCAGGCCCCCGCGGCCGTCACAGCCACAAGCGCATGAGGCCTGTATGTGGGAGGCTGGCGTGATGCGTGGGGCGTCTTGGGGGACAGTGTCTCAGAAGTAGGCAGAGAGGCGGTGGGAGTTTACTCAGCGCCCCGTAGCGTTCACTTTTAAGTGGTTAAATTGACGTGATATGGAACCTTCCTCGGTTTCTCAAAAGTGACTCCCACCTGCCCCATGCACAGCCCATCACAGGGTGGGTATGTGAGCCCCAATCCGCTGCGCAGACTCTGCCCAACACTCTCTGTGCCCAGCAGAGGTGGGTCTCTTAGGCCCAGTGCTTCCCGGAGGCTTTTGGGATATTTGCATCCCAGCCTACTGTGGGCCTCCATCACATACACCTCCAAGCCCTGGGTGACCGCAGGGAGGATGGTAAGTGATTCGCTCCTCCAGGAATCCCAGCACTCTGAGAGGCTGAGGCAGGAGGAGCCGGGGTTCAAGCCCAGGTTGGGCAACTTAGTGGCTTAGCAAAACCCTGTTTCAAAATAAAAAATAAACTTGGGTATAGCAGAGCACACCTGTATTCCCAGCACTTGGCAGGCTGAGGCAGGAGGATCACCGTGAGTTCAAGGCCAGCCTGGGCTACATAGTGAGATCCTGTCTCAAAAATAAAATTTTAAAAATTTAGCCCAAGGCAAAGGCCCTGAGTTCAATTCTCATTACCACCTAAAAAATGGAGATCAGTAGCCCCTCTGTCTTAGGAGCAGGGCTGTAAAGCAGGGCTGTGGTGCGAGGGGTGCTGGGACATTGCTCACACCTGCCACGCTGCCCTCTGTGATAGCAGAGGCGGACACGGGGTGCCCAGACAGAGCCCCAGGAGTACTCACTCACCCATGGCAGCCTCAAAGTACATCTGGATCTCCACTGGGGTCAGCGCCCGCTCCCAGAAGATGAATTCATCGAAAGCACTGTTCTCAGAGCACTTGGTCTGGTCCTGCTCCGACCCTATCACGAGGTTAGCACTGGACTCCCCGTAATCATGCGACACTTTCCCGCGGGAGTCAGAGGTGCTCAGGGTCCCATTGACGTAGACTTTCAGGCCCTCCTTGGATTTCCATGTGAACAGGACATGAGTCCAGTAGGGACCTGGAAGAAAGGAAGATGCGGCTCTGGGTGCAGGGGGAGGGAACGGGGACCAGCTCTCCAGCGCAAGTCCTTCTGTCACCCCCGCCTCACCACGGCTGCTGACTTAACCTTAGGGAGCCTTAGTGCAGGTCCTAGCAGAGAATAACCTTCAATCCCTTCTAGCACAGGAAAGAAATTGCCCTTGTGCGTCCATCCTCAAAGGTAGTTTGAGGAGACCATTATTTCAACATAAGAATCACAAATGTAAATGTCTACACGCCAAGGTGATCAAATATTTTTTAAAGGGCAGAACACAAGCATCAGTGAGTGGTTATAGCGAGACTGAAGGATGCAAGGGTAACATGCATAAGTCAGTTGCCTTCCTAGGTACCAGCAATGAACAAGTAAAAATTTGAAATGTTAAAGGACCATGTCATCATTTACATTAGTGCTATAAAAAGAAAAAAGAATATGAAACACTGAGGTATTTAGGTATAAGTCTAGCATGTACAGGATCTGAGGAAAAGTGCAAACTCTAAGGAACAAAGTTAAACAAGAACTAAAAAAAAGGAGTGATCTTCCATATTCACGGATAGGTGGACCCAACGCTGCCAAGATGCAGGGTCTTTCCAAATTGATCCATAAATGCAATGCAATTCTAATCAAGATCTCAGTAAGTTTTTCCATGGGTAGCAACAGACTGATTCTAAAGTTCATATGGAAAGGCAAATACCAAGAAAATCCACAAAACAATGAAGGAGAAAAACAGAGTTGGAAGACTGACACTACCTGCTTTCAAGACTTACACAACAGTTACAGTGATCAGTAATCAAGGGAGTGTGGAATGGGGTGGTAGGATTAGGCAGACAAGCAGATCAGTGGACCAGAAGAGACAGCCAGAGAGAGACCAACACCAGCACAGGTGTTGTGGCTTCTATCTGGATGTCTCCCCAAAGCTCCCTGCACTTGTAGGTGGGGCTTTGGGGAGTAACTGGATCCTGAGTGTGTGGTACTGGATTAGCCCACTGATGGGTTTGTAGCTGGGTGTGATGTTGGGAGGTGGAGCCTCGTGAAGGAGGTGGGTCACTGTGGGTGTGGCCTGCAAGGGTCTGTCTCCCTCCTCCTCCCTTGATCCCTCTCTGCTTCCTGCAGCCCTGCCATGGGCTGTTCCTCCCCTGACAGCCCCTCTGCCGCGCTGCCCTGCCTCGGAGCCAGCTGACTATGAACTGAATACTCTCCAGTAGGAGCCGAAATAAATCTTTCCTCTTCTAAGTTCTGGGTATTGGGTATTTTGTGCCAGCAATGAGATAGTAACTAAGAGAGCAGGCTACCTGGTAGCTAGCAAAGGATCAAAGGCAACTCAAGAGGACCAAAATAGCCTTTTAACCAATGGCACAAGAACAACTAGATACTCAAACACAAAAATCAGAAATAAATCTAGACACAAACTTCATACCCATCACAAAAATCAAACCAAAATGGATGATAGACCTAAACATAAAATGCAAAACTATAAAACCCCTGAAAAGTAACAGGAGAAAAGTCTAGACGACCTGGAGTTTGGTGATTGCCTTTTATCATTGTTGTCGTTGTTGTTTGAGACAGTTTCTCCATGTAGATCAGGGTAGCCTTGAACTCACTGTCTAGCCCAGGCTGGCCTCAAACTTGCAGCTATCCTCCTGCCTCAGTCTCTCAAGTACTGCGATTACAGCATGTGCCACCACGACTGGGGCGGGGGGGGGGGTGATGACACCCCCCACAGTGGATGCAGGGTGGGAGCCAAAGGCTCTGGACACAGCTGCCTCAGAGTCCTGTGGGTAAGTGGGAGAAACGGAAATGTTTTGGGAAGCAGGGTGGGGTGTGGCGAGCCATGGATATCGTCTCATGAGAAGGGGGGACTGGGGGGGGGGGGGGGGTGATGACCTTTTAGATTCAGCGCAAAAGGCACAATCCATGGAAAAAATAACTGATAGGCTGGGCTTATCAAAGCTAAGAATCTCTGCTCTGGGAAAGATCTGTCAGGAGGACGGGAGTGCCAGCCACAGACGGGAGGAAAGCTTTGTGACAGACGTGATCATGGATACTGTTGCCTGACGTACACAGAAAACAACTGGGACTCACCAACCAACTTAAGAAAACACGGACAAAAGATCTGAACAGATGACTCTGCCACCCACAGAACGCAGCGCCCAGAATGGGCCTCATGTGAACGGTGGGCGTTGGGTGGCTAGGACATGTTGATTTCAGGTCATCGGTTCCAGCAAGAGCCTTTTCGGGGAGGATGTTGGCCGCAGGGGAGGCTGGTGTGGGGCTGTAAACCCATCTGAGGGCCCAGTTCAGCCTGTGCCTGGTACCAGCCTCAGCTCTGACGGGCCAGCGGGACACTGACCACTGTGGCAGAGACCAACTCCCCGGCTCCTTGGAGAGCCATCGTGAGCTCCGCGCTCATCCACAAGAAGTCTCGAGGATGAGCAGCTGCCCCACAGGGCCCCTGTGCTGTGCAAGTGTTCATGTTCAGATGTGGAAGGGACAGGGCAGCGCTCCCAAAGGACGCCCCCCAGCCCTCGGGCTCCGTGGAGCGCCCAGCAATTACATCAGGGCTCCTTCCCCAGGACTGTGCAGCTTTCTAAGAATGTGGAGTCTCCAAGAACACTTGGATCCAAAACAGGTCCCAAGTATGACTGCCCTGAAGTCTGTGAAGACAAACACATTCCTTTGGCATGCGAACAAAGAAGGTGCTGCCCTCAGCAGTGTCAGACGTCTCCCGGCCAAGGGATCGTAACCCACATTCAGAGGACTAGCCCGCCCCTGGTCCTGTGTCTGTCACACCAGCCTGAGGTGTGTGGGGTGAGGCTCCCAGCAGGAAACAGTGACACACGTGGAGCCTGGAAGGAAGACGCCAGGGAGGTCGAGGGAGCACCGCACGGGACAGGGAAGAGACATGATTTCTGGTCTCAGGGATCCGAGAAGGCAAATTCAAAGCACACACTGCTGCCGCAGGCCTTCCCACTCACAGGGCAGAGGTGCGTGCCCGCTGACAGTGCCGAGACCCCTGAGCCCCCAGACAGCCAGGCTGCTGCGTCCTTCAGCCTGCAAACCCCGTTCTGTCGCCCTGCGGTGGCACTGCCATGAGCCTCAGATAACAAATAGGAGGCCGAGGTGTGGGGTGGGGATGCAGGTGCCAGGCGGAAGGGCAGCTGGGCACAGGGCAGAGCGGCCCAGGCCAGCTTGCGCTGCTGTCCAGGCGTTCCAGTGAGTGAGCCACACAGCCACTGTGGACAGGTCAAGGAGGGACACCCTGAGTGTCCCCAAGACGCCATTCCCGGCCCCCTCCCTCCGTCCCTTCACCCTGCCCTGTCTCCTGCTTACTTCCTGGGCTGTCCCTGCGGGCTGCCCTGGAGTGCCCTCTCCTCTTCTCCAGGGTCCACTTCAGCCCTGGCCCCCTTCCGGCCCAACCTCCACCCAGGCCAGCAGACAGGCACCAAACCATGGAGAAAACGGTGCCCATCAGAGAAGCCAGGAGCTCCACCACCCCAGGCCCCACCGGGTGCCCCCCAGCCTTCCCGGGGGCCCTGCATCCTCCGTCCCCACCAGGCCTCCTCTCCCAGTGCACAGCCACCTGCCCACAGCTCCTCTCACCCCGTGCCAGGCAGCTCCCGTCTCCAGCACAGACAGGAGAAGGAGGCAGGTGAAGGGAAGACGAGGGAGAAATATAACCGCGTCTCTTGCCCACCTCCACTGCTCTGTGAGCTGGGCGGGCACAGAGAACCTCGCCAGGTACATCCCTGCCTCCTAGGACCCCTCCCCCAGGCCCCTGAGAGATAGGGGTCACGTCAGCATCACCATCAGCGAGAGAGAAGATGCCCCAGGCCAGGGTCACTACTCACCCAGAGGGCTGAAGGCGGCCTCCCATGTCATGAAGTTGTCACGTGTGTGCAGCTCCACAGAGCCCCAGCTGCCACTGGAACAGACCTTGAAGCCGTCGGAGATGACCTGTCCCTCGTACGTGGAAGGGGCGGGCCGGGATTGCACTCCCTGGATCTTCCAGAAAAAGGAAAAGGTGACACCTGCGGAGAGAGAGGGCAGGAGGAGCAGGTGGAGGCACACGGGAGCAGGGGCATCGCTGCCTTGGTTCAGGGCTCACTGGGGATCGGGCACTGCCCAGGAGACCGAGGGAAGCGCCTCCTTCTGAAGAGCACTGCAGGCCTGTCACTGTCCTCCTGCACAGACAGGGTTCCAAGGCCTCGCCATGGCCACTGGTCTGAGGACCTTCGGAGCAGGACACAGACCTGGACGTGTGGGGTCAGAATGTGCACGTACAGACACCCACGCCAGCCCGGGCAGCGTCCAGAACCGCGTCTATAAACACACATTACAGAGAAAGGGGCCCTCCCACACAACGAGTTTATAAACACCTTCAAAACTGCCTGCCTGCGGACTTCCTCCGGTCCCTAAATACACCGCTAGATTGTCGTTTTTTACGTCCGCACAGCGCTGCGTCCTAAATGGGACACAGGGGGTTTTTAAGCAACACCCTCATGTTGAGTCTTAAGGTTTTCATCACAGTTGTGAAGGAATCTTCCAAAGAGAACCCGAGGCGGAAGGCTTCGGCCCCCTCAGATCGGAAGCTTTAGACTCCGTCTCCGGAGGTGCCCTTTGAGGTTTTTGATGCTGCAGCTGCTCTTTTCCCAGCCGTGATCACCGCTGGCAGTGGCAGTTTTGAGGACATTCAAGGGCGAGTGTTTTGTTTTTGTTTTTTGGTTTTTCTCCGGTACCGGGAACCGAACTCACAACCTTGCACTTGCCAGGCAGGCGCTTTTGCCGCTGAGCTAAATCCCCAGCCCCTCAAGGGCGAGTGTTTAGCAGGTCCAGACCTCGGGGGACCCACGGAGCAAGGTCCCTGTTACACTGGTAAGCGCCGCAGCAAGGTCACGGCGTGGGGCAGCGGGAGAGGTGGACAGGCCTTGGCCCGGGGCTGCGTGCACGTCTCTTCCGGTCCTGCCTTCAGCCAGGCTGTGGACACAGCCTCCGGGAGGCACCGAGCCCACAGCCACAGCGACATCAGCGCACCCTGGTGTCCTCGCCACACGCCCCATGAGCGGCCCTTTGTTCGAGCCCCCCCCCCCCCGTCTGTGTCCACGGCACTGTGTGACCCCTGCGGGCTCCAAGCCTCTCTGCAATCCACGGAAACCTGGGAATCAGCCACTTTTCTAACCCTGGCCTGGGGCTTCGCCGCTTTATCTTTTTACATCAAAGGAGTCTCGAGGTTCTTGCATGGCCCTGACAGAGAGCGAGCTGAGTTTGGGGGAGCGATTTGCACGCATTGAAAAGCACACAGCCTGCAAGTGTGCACGGCCGCTGTGCCCCACTGCGCATACAGGGTTTGCTTTGTAGAAGGAAGGCCCTCACGATACCAGCAGGACCCAGATCTTCCTGAGGTTCTGGGAGGTGACAGTATGGAACACAAAGTGAAATGGGTCCCCCTCAAATGCCCTGTCACCCCATGAAGGACATGTTGTCACCCCAGGCGATGTCACCACAGAGGCCAGGGGCCAGGGCCTGGGCGTCCAGGCCTAGCCAGCACCTGCGCAGCGGTGGGAGGTGGGACTTGGAGCCCCGCCACCTCCTCAGGCTCTGTCGGCCACAGCCGTCCCCAGGAGCAGCAGTTTCACAGGCAGGGAGTGCAGCACACGATGAAACTTCCTTATGAAACACATTCCCCGCAGGATTTGTGGACCTCAAGGATGTTTTTCCCCCAAAAACTTACTGTCCCTGAAAACTCCTTTTACTCAATCCTAAATGGTCCTGTCTTGGCCCAGCGTCTGTCTGTCCAGGAAAGAAAATAAAAATTGAAAGTCCAATGCAGTGTTAGCTGAGGGTTAAGTAATAAAAATAAAAATTAAAAGTGCAGCCTGGTGTTGGATGAGGACGAGCTGCAGGCCAGGCATGGTCATGTCTCCGCAGGGTCTGCGCCCACCGTCTCAGGGGCACCAGGAGGAGCACGAGCGAGTCGACACAGCCTGAGGTGGGGCCGGGGGCGGGGCTTGTGGCCGGAAGCTGGTCCTGAGCTTGCTGCTTGCTATGAGCAGTGAATCCTGCTCCATCCAAACAGGCAGCGGGGAGAGGGCTTGCTCAACAAGGCAGAAAAGGGAAACAAAACCCGAAGTCGTGAGGAGGACGGGTTACAACACTCTACGGGGCAGAAATCGCCGCGCGAAGTGTGACAGGTGACGGTCCAGCAGGAAGCATCTGTGACACGCCCAGCCGATAAGAAACGAGCTCCCTTCCCACGGAAAGAGCGCTTCCTACAGGGGAGCACGGCTCCTGCCAGCTGCGACCGTGGCTGTGCACGGGACGCTGGGCTTTCTTGGGCATGGGCTCTCCATCCTCCAGAGGCTGCAGCCAAAGGGTTGGGGGACGAGGTGAGGCCTCCAGTGGAGACTCTCGTTGGGCACCCTGGGGCAGGCTGGGCCGCACTGGCCAGAAGGCTCAGACCCAGAGCAGAGCAACCAGCACCTCTGGGCACTCCAGTACCCAGGAGGGTCTCCACGACCCAGCACCTCTGAGCACCCGGAACACTCTGCTGGCCAAGCCACGGGTCCTGGTCGAGCCCTGCAGAGCCAGGGAGAGGCCCAGCAGCCCTGGTGAGCGGCACGAGGACGCGGAGTCCATGCAGGACACGGTGCTGAGGACAGCTCGGAGGGCAGGAGCAGGTGGGCGTGGATACCGCACAGGGGCAGCAGGGAGCTGGTGCGGGCAGGACCCACACGAGGCTCCAGGCACGGACCAGCAGGAAATGGGAAGAGAAGAGCCATGTGCAAGGGACACAGGACACAGGACACACAGACAGCAGGGACACACGGACAGCAGGGACACACGGACAGCAGGGACACACGGACAGCAGGGACACGCAGACAGCCCCCAGTGGAGACACACTGTTCCCACCCCATCTCTGGAGGCACTGGAGGACTCCAGCACGGTCCCCACTCCAGAGGGGACACCGGGCCTCTCCTCTCCCGGCTGTCGCTGTGGGAGACATGACAGCAGCCATCAGGGCAGTGGCCGCTGTCCTTGGGCCCGGCCTGACTGAGGACCACCGGGCTGGCGACGGCATGAGCGAGCAGTTGCTGGCCCAGAGTGGTGGAGGGTCTCTGTGCCCCGTCTCGCTGCCGCAGGGCCAAGGAGCCCGGTGGGTCTTGTGACCTCCAAGGAAGTCAGAAGCGTAGATTTTTAAAAGGCATTTTCTCATTTACAAAGGATGAATATGAATTTTTAAAAAGCCGTTTAGAGCCCTGCGACAGCTGGGCTGGGAACAGAGCCGGGACAGGCGGGTGCGAGGCAGAAAGTGTGGACAGAGGAGCCACCTGCAGCCCGCAGTCTGCCTGTGTGGGTTACCTCGGCCCAGCGGTGTCCAGCCGAGGGTGGAGGTGGCCGCAGCTCATGGGTCCCCGGTGTCTCTGTCCTGGGAACCCCTTTTATAGGCGCCTGCTGCCCCGCCACACTGCGTGAATGGTCCTGGAGCTGCACAGCGGTGAATCGCGGTGTGGCTCTGGGCCCACCCTGCAGCCTCCCTGGCCTCGGTCCCCCTCTGTGAGAGCACCCTGAGGCGGCTGCCGAGGACCACCCCATGCACGCAGGGTCCCAAGTCTGGACGTGGCCGGGGTGCAGCCTGCCACCGCGGGAGCCTCAGTGCTCACACTCCCTCCGGGCTTGACTCTTGCTGACCGCTCTGCAAACCAGGCGCCCGACGCATGGAGAGCCGTCAAGGCCAGCTGGAGGGGAGCGTGGCCGTGAGCGTTTCCTGCAGCCCTGTGGCTCCAGGGTTTTTACAAGCAGACCTTAGCCCGGCATCAGAAATGACATCCCAAAAGTCAGAGGAGCCCGAAATGGAACCGCCTGTCCTTCCCCTCCCTCTCCGTCCTTTTAAACCACTATCCGGGTATCACCTATGTGTCACGTCAAATAGCTTCAGCTTAACGGATGCACCAGCAGATCGTACATGGAGGTGAAATTAAGCAAGACAGAAGCTCCAGCGATGAATGCCTCGGGGCTGGCAACAACGGCCTTCAGGCTTCTGTGCCGTTCTTCACTGCGCCTTCTTTCATGTGGGGAGAGTGCTCGGCGTCTGCCCGCTGCGTCTGGAGAGTGTGCTGCGGGCACCTTTTGTGCCTGGAGACTCCAGGGCCAAGATAGTTGCCATCCTCACGATGACAGAGGATGTGCGGTACAGGCCACCACACACCGGGCAGGTCTTGGGATTCTGGGGCGGACGGTGTGGGGCCACAGGCATCCACGGTTATAGCTCACCCCGTGACCGAGGAGATGCCTGGCTTCTGCAGAGGGCTCAGGGGTCCCTGCCTGCCTTCCGGGCCCCTGTCAAGCTCTCCGGCAGGGAGCCCATGGGACAATAGCTCTGGAGGGACACGGACCTCTCCTGAGGTCCAAGGTCAAGAACAGCCGTAGCGGAGCAGCCTTCCTCTCTCACAGGTTCCTCCAGAGCTCCCTGGACAGCAGCTGGTGACCAGGAAAAGGCTCCCTGAGGGGCCATGTGCCGTCATCTCTGGGTGAAGGACGGTGCAGGAGGAGGCGGGGTACAGGGGCACAGGGGTCTCTGTGAGAACCAGGGTCAGCGGGACCTCCCGGGGCACCTCCTTAGGGACAACTCCTGAATCACCGGTGTGAAATACTCTGCATCCTGTGCCTTTCAGAACTGTCCGAACTGGCGCTGTTGCCCTGCACAGCCGCTGTGAGAACACACTTCAGAGCAGGAGGTCGTGTAAAGTAGTTTTCGTTGCTGGGGCGCCGCCCCTCCGTGCCCCATGCTTTACCCTGGCAAATGCCAGGCAGCTTTGTTCTCTTGGGCTCAGCAGTATGAGGCGACGGGGGCCCAGGAACGCCCCGAGCAGAGGACGTGGCCCATCGAGTGCCCGTTTGCCTGTCCCATGCCCGTCACCCGCGAGTTTGGACGTGGGAGAGGCACCGCCTGCAGCTCCCACGCCAGGGTCACTGCCTGAGCCGGGGCAGACTCAGGGCTCCCCAGCCCTCTTCTCCATCCGGCCGGGCTGTAAGGCAAGTAGACTCCAGAGGTGCGGTTCGCCATGCACAGGCGCCTGCTCGACAGTGGGGCCCAGGCCAAGCCCACAGCCTTGCTACCACCCCATCCCATCCTGCAGCCACATCGCTGAGGATGAGCGAGTGAATGCTGGCGCCCGGGGGTCAGGGTCACGCTGAGGCATGGTGGGTACGGCCAGTCGAACCGCAGAGCCACTCTCCAGCGTCACCCCAGAGGCAGCCGCTGCTCTCAGGAAGAACAGAAGCGTGAGGGAGGATGTTTGCAGCCACGAGGGCAGCGCTCACACCCGACAGCCTCTCGAGGAGCTGCCACTGTGAGCCAGGTCTGTGGGGGCTCCAGTCTTCAGCACCCCGCAAGGGGCTGCTTCGAATGGCTCGTTTCATGCGTAAGAACTCGACTTGAATGTCAGGGCTGCCTAGGGGACCTCAGAAAGGACCAGAACCCCGGCCCTGCCCCAAGGAGGCCGCTGAATGCTGGTGAGGGCTGCAAGATGCTGCGATGGGGCCTCACGGGGCCACACTGGACTGCAGGGGCTCTGGGAACATGGAAACCCGCGAGCATTTCCTAGTCTCCACCATGGCGGATAATTTAAAGTTTCACCCTGCTGCCTGCCGAGCCCAGCATGGCCAGAGACCAGGATGAGCTCGCCTTGGTGTCCAGGCGGTGTCCAGCTCGCCAGGTGTCCAGGGGACCTGTCGGGGGCTCTCCCCTCAGGACCTGAGGCCTCCCTCGCAGCTGGTCACCTGTACCTGGGGGGCAGGGCTGCCTGCCCTTCCCCGAGCCGAGGCAGGGCGGGGCTGCTCTCTGGCCCTCCTGCCACCGTCCCCAGCCCAGGCTGTTGGGGTTTGCATATGGAAACAATCCCAGGGGCTTCGTGGCCGTTTGCACCCAGCTCCCGCTCGGGTCTGTGGGCCCAGCCGCGGTTCCAACCTCAGACCGGGTCCCGGAGTCCCCAGCGGCCCTCCTGTGTCTCTCCTAGAGTGGAACCCGTCTTCCCCGAACCTACACAGCTGACCCATAGTCAAGAGGCCATGGGAGCCCTGAGCCCCTGGGGACCCGGGGGCTTCTCTCCCTCAGGAATAAGCATTTTCATGCTGTCGAAACCCTGCAGGCCCAAAGGTAGCGTGGTCGGCGGCAGTAGGCAGTTGCCCATCTCAGATCTGCCTTGTCCAAACCAGACAGAGACCCCAGGCCCCTCCCCAGCAAGGAGGAGAGGATTCCGGCGTCTCTCATGTGCTCGGGCCTGGGTCTCCGCAACGGCCCGCAGTCACAGCCGGGACAGGCCAGCTGCCCGTGGACATGAAAGCGGCGCCCGGCGGGGTTCACAAGCACAGGCGGCCCCGCCTGGCACCTACCCGAGCCAGAAATAACGCTGCGGGAGCCACACCCGCAATTTCCTCCCCACAAATGCTGCAGCCAGTCCCAATCCCCGGTGACTCCGCCATGCCTGTTTTAGGAAAGGCCTTCCCCCTTCCTTTACAAGGTTAAACACACTGACCGCGCGGCTGAGGGACGGCCCTGGGTCAGGACTCAGAGCCCGTGTCCCCTGCCCCACTGTAGCAGTGTCACGCCTCCTGCAGTCACTGAGCACTTCTGTTGCTATCCGCCACCAGCCCCGAGCAGCTGGCCCCTGACAGCGCACGTGAGAGCGAGAGGCCCTTGACATCACTCACCCTCGGGGCCGCAGCGCGAGAGGTTGCTGATGCAGGAGGCATTGTTGTAGAGGAGCAGCGTCACCCCCTTCTCCTCCCTGAGGTAAATGCTCTTGTTGACCTTGGCTTCCATGAGGTCTGGGGAGACAGAAGACAGACGTGAGCCCAGGCCGGGAGACGTGGGTCCCAGGACGCCCGCGGCCAGACTCGCGAGGAGCTCCATGCAGGCCATGCCGTCTCCCCACGCGGGGCGTCAGGCTCTGCTCCCCACCGAGGCACGAGCTGATGTTTAATTGTTGGTGACTAAGTGACAAGTGACTTTGAGCTTTAATGCAGGACGATGCTGTCACCGCTCGGCTGGTGTGCTCTGGTGTGGCATGTGTGTGTGCCCTGGTGTGGTATGTGTGTGTGCTCTGGTGTGGCGTGTGTGTGTGCCCTGGTATGGCGTGTGTGTGCTCTGGTGTGGAGTGTGTGTGTGCTCTGGTGTGGTGTGTGTGTGTGCCCTGGTGTGGCGTGTGTGTGTGCTCTGGTGTGGCGTGTGTGTGTGCCCTGGTGTGGCGTGTGTGTGTGCTCTGGTGTGGCGTGTGAGTTCTGAGTGGAGATGCTGCGACCATCGGGCCTGCCCCCACTGCAGGCCTCTCAGGCCTGGCTGCCTCCTGCTCACACCGCTCTGAACCTCCGCCAGACTCTCCAGGAGCAGGCAGGCCTGAACCTCCCTTCCCCTCCCCTCCCCTCCCCTCCCAAACCCCGATTCCCCTCTCTGGGCCACAGCATGGCCTCGGCAGCCACATCAGATTCAGGAGGACCCAGACCCACAGGGGGGCGTCCCGAAGGAGCCTCGACCGCCAGGGCAGAGACAGCCAGCACTGGACAGAGCCGCTGCCCCCCAGGCCAGCCACGAAGGGCAGGCAGTTGGGCGACAGCCTCCACAGGGAAGCTGTGGAGACCCAGGTGACGGGTGTTTGTGCTTTGCTGGGACATCAACCTCAGCTGCCTCTGCTGTCCAGGGTCAGAGGACACACAGCGGCCCTGATACTGCAGCCCTCTAGGTAGACAGCAGCTTCAGGTCACTGACTGGACACGACCTACATCAGGCCTTCTAACACCGCTGTCACCCGGATGGCCCTCTGGTCGGAGTCCGTCCTGACTGTCACAAGCAGCTGCACACCCAGGTTGGGTTTGCTGGCAAAAGTAACTTCAGAAGCCGCCCACCATGGGGGCAGCAGCCAGGCCACGCGCTGAGCAAAGGCTGAGGCGAGCCCTGCCGCTCAGAGCTGTCCCTGTACGCCCAGCAAAGAAACGTCACCGCCACTGCGGCCCGTTGCCCCGAGCCGCCCACCCGGGAAGAGGAAGGGAGCTGGCTCTGGAGTCTGTCCCAAAAGACAGAGAGCTATTCACAGCCTGTGCAGGGGCGTGTGTCAGACAGCTGCTACGGCTTTTAAAATCCAGCTGCACAAGAAATGCTGATTTTACTGTTTTTAAGAGATTGGATTTTGCATGAGGTAGTTTTAAAGCAGCTTTAATTTTCCATGGAAGAGCATACTTTTCCTCCCCCAAAGAACACAGTCCTTTTAGAAATCCTATTTCTTTATAATTTTTGTTTTGTTTTGATTCGTTTTGTTTTTTGAGACAGGGTCTCGCTGTGTCGTCCAGGCTGACCTTGAACTCACAGTGATCCTCCTGCCTCAGCCTCCCGAGTGCTGGGATTATAGGTGTGCACCACCATGCCTGCCTAAAACTCCCAATTCTGTGTTTAGAAAAGATCTCATTCTGTGTGGGTTCTGTTCTGGGAATAAATAGCTGATTCACCAGAAGAGACCTGAGCATCTTCAGACAGAACTCTGCATGCGTCTTGAGACCCCGGCCCTTCTCTTCTATTTTTTCTTTTCCTTTCTGTCTTTTAAAAAAATTTTTTTTCAGTACTGGGGATTGCACCCAGGGCCTTTGCACTGAGTCATATCCTCTGCCCCTTTTTATTTTTTAAATTTTGAGGCAGGGTCTTGCTAAATTGCCCAGTGTGGGCTTGAACTTAGGATCCTCCTGCCTCAGCCTCCCAGAGTGCTGGGATCACAGGCGTGCACCACTGTGCCTGGCTTGCCCTGGCTCTCCTGCTGCACGTCCTTGTCCATTCGTCCATGTGTCTTCACACCAGGACCGTGCAGCCCTGCGGGACCCAGCTCTAGAACTCACCGCACATCCAGACTGGACAACACAGAACACAGCGGATGGGAGCTCACCTACGGTCGCAGAGAGATTGGAGTAGGCAGAGTCCCTGGTGGGCACAAAGGTGGAGGTGTGGGGAGGGAGCACAGTGAGGTTGCGAGCTCGCAGTGCTGGGGAAACGACAAAGACAGAAGCACAACGGGTGAGTGAGACGGAAACGGCCCCGCCCTATCTCTCCGCTGGGGCCAGCGCCCCACTGCCCGAGACCCCCCTCCGGCCACCTCCGGCCTCCAGCAACGACGTCACCGCCAGCTCCGGCGACGCTGCGTCTGGAAGCCGGGCCCCCGTCCGGACACTTGGTTGAGAGAAAGGACGTTGATCTCGGCTGTTTCTAAAGTGCCCACATCAAAAGGACGTCACAGGGACTGACAGGACAGAGACACGGCACGGAGACAACTGTGCGGCCCTGCGGCCAACACAGGGCAGCAGAGCGCGGCCACACCCAGCACCCAGAAGCCGGCCCAGCCGCGGGCCTGCGGGTCCCGGACCTCACGCTCAGGGGCCCGGGATCCAGCCGAAGTCCCCCGGCAGGGCACTGTCCCTGAGACATGGGGTCCCCGGGAAAGCGAGAGTTGAAGGGACACACGTTGAAATATTGTCTTTTTTACCAGGCATCAATGTGTTCAGCACACAAAAGGCAAACTCAGTATAACTGTGTTACATTTCAGGAAGAATTTCTCATGGGGAAAGGTGCTCAGACACCCAGGCACGTGCTCACGTGGTAACTGGGCTCAGGCAGGGAGCCGAATAGGAGGCTGGCTGCCGGGTGCTCATTGGAAATGGCTCCTGGAATCTTAGCTCCCGGTCCTCACAAGCAGCTATCAAGGCAGCATGTGTCCACTTGGGATGATTGCCTGGTGACGGCTTGAGACTCAGGCTCCGAGAAAGAGACGAGCACATGGGAAAGTGGTCTGCTTTGCCCCAGCCAGCCGCCGGCACACCGGCCCAGGGGTGCTTTCATCCCTAGGTGCAGACCGTTCGGAGAAAACGCCTGGCGGGTGCACAGCGGGCCAGCCAGGAGGAAGGAGGGTGGCACCGTGTGGTTGACGCCCAGCTCCCAGGCCCCCAGTGGCCCTGATTTGGTGGCGATTTCCAGCAACACATAAAACTATAGCAATAAGGGAAATAGTGGTGTGCGGGTGTGGATGGACAGCAATCAGCAGTTTGTGTGTGTGTGTGTGTGTGTGTGTGTGTGTAACCAAACACTTTGCACAGCCCCCACAAGGCCCGCACTGGCTTGATGTACGATGCCCACTGGGCATGTGACACAGTCAAGAGCAATAAGTCAGTAGAGCAAAGCGCGACACCCCTAAACTGCCCAAAACCCGAACTTCCAAAGGGAACCCCTCCTGGAGGGGGAGAACCACACGGGGAATGCCAGCTTTCTCTTGCCTGTGGACAGAGTGAGGGGAGTGAGAGGGGGACCCTGGGTGATGTGTGCGCAGCAGCTGGGAGACCAGCAACCATCCCTGAGGTTGGCACGGCCCGGGGCTGCCAGGCCGACAGACACGCAGCGGGTCTGGTCTGGGATCCTCCGGCGAGGTTTCGGGAAACACATATTTGAGTCGTGCTTTGAGCCCTAAATCCAGCCCTCCCAGCACAGCAGTCTCTGAGGATCTAGTGGAAACCTGAGAGCTCGTCTTAGCGGACGCGCACAGACTCCTGTTTGTTTCCCTCCGTCCCCGTACGGCCAGCCCAGCCCCCCACCCGTGGTACCTCCAGTCGCGTCCTGAAGTTCATGGATCCCCTCCACGGGCTCCAGCGGCCAGTAATGGGAAGCAGAGGCCAGGACCGCAAATCCTGGGGAGAAAGAGGCAACAGTTCAACAGTTCAACCCGCTGAGGAGGAAGGGCTGAGGACGTCTGCCTCTGTGCCCTGTGTGGGCTGGGAAATATCACAGTGACCACGGCCACGCCGAAGGGCGCGGGACACATTCCATACATAGGCTTTGTTTAAAGAGAGACCTATGCCGGGCGTGGTGGCGCACTCCTGTAATCCCAGCACTTGGGAGGCTGAGGCAGGAGGATCATTGTGAGTTCAGATCAGCCTGGGCTACAAAGTGAGCTCAAGGCCAGCCTGAACTGCATTGTGAGACCCTGTCTCAAAAAGACAAAAAATAAAATCAAATAAAAAATAAAGAGAGACCTTACATTAGAAACCCAGCAGTTCTTTGACGGGACAAAACAGAATGCAAAGGAGTAGGTGCCCTTCAACCTGTGAAAGCAAAAGCCTCGATGCCCGACAGTGGAGAGCTAAGCACAGGCCCATCCGGGTCGAGAAACATGAGGACATCTGTTATCCCTTTGTCCCACCCTCTTGGTGGGATTATCTGATGGAACAGGACAGCAGAAAGACAGGAGGCTAAAAACACCTGCCATCATGCCCGCGCTGCTGGGGCACAAATAAGCACTCTCACTCCAACAGTAACTCTCAGGCCACGAACCCCTCTCCTGTGTGTGAGGACAGGGAACACGGCGTCCCCCGCGGCACACGCAGGCCGGCCGGACACAACACACTGGACAGCTGTGTCTCCCTCAGTCCCTGCTCCACCTCTGTCTCTTGTACCCCAGGGCCGACTCCTTTCCCAGGTCCCGTGTGGCCCTGCTGCCTGGCAGGGATACACATTTACACGGACACCGTCTTCTCCTCTCGCTGAGTAAGTTTACGCGCTCAGTCCCATCTGACCTCTGTAATGGGGTCTGTGATGTCCCGGGCTCTGCCCCCTCAGGTGACACCCACCCTCGCGCCCATGGGCAATCCAAGTCCCCACCTTCGCTGGAGGAGGCGACCCCAGACCTGCAGCCTGAGCCCGGCACCCTGATCCTGCGTGACTATCACTTATCAGTGCAGACAACAGTCCCGATGCCTGGGGGTCATCGTCTGCTCTGAGCGTCTACCACGACACAGAGGGGAAAAGGAATCGCATGCCCTGTGCTACTCACTGTAGAGGAAGCTCTGGAGGTGATAAAACGATTGCTATCATCAGACGATGCAAGCCCGATATACAAAGTAAAAACTGCGCCACACGATGCGGGAATTTAGCCAGGAGGCCCAGACAAAGTAACAAACAAAGCCTAGAGCTTTCCTGTATTTCAACAATTGTGCTTAAAAAATGGCACAGAAGTTCTCCTTTCCAAATGCAATCAATGAAGGAAAAAAATTTTAGACCAAAACAATAAGAACTGTACATGATCTTCATAAGGACGACAAAAAAATACAATAATCCTGACGGGTGTGAAGAGCACGCTGAATAACTGCACATCTCAACTCGTTCTTGGGAAAACAGGCTCATTATAGAAATATCGGTGCTCCTTTAATTAACCTAAATACTGCGGAGATCTTCTGTAACAGCGCTGAGAGGATTTTTTGCAAGGGGAACTTTGCTTATGAAGTTTAGATTCTAAACACAGCAAGCACCAAAGGACCAGAGAGGGGAAGGTGGGGCCCCCAGGGGGTGAGCTGCTGGGAGGGGTCTCCAAAGCAGAGAGGGCACAGGTGCCCCAGGAATATGGGGATTTAGTTTAAGATAAAGGCAGCACTTTAAATCAGAGGGGAAATGTAATTCAACCAAAATTATGGGAACCAGTTAGCCATGTCCCTGCTTCACTCTTTACACCACAGAAGTTTCCAGATGGGTCAAAATGTAAGTGTAAAAGCTGGCGTGGTGGCATGTGCCTGCAATCCCAGCACTTGGGAGGCTGAGGCAGGAGATCGCAGCAAGTTCAAGGCCAGCCTGAACCGCATAGTGAGACCCTGGCTCCAGAAACAACAGCAAAACATAATAAATTAATTTTTCAAAATCTCTGTGCAGAAGGAAAAAGGTAAGTTAAATCAAGGTAGAGGATAACATGTACATAGCATGTGACAAATGTACCGATTTCCTTTTGGATGTACTAAGTTAGCTCTATTAATAAAACTCCTGCGGGCTGAGGCAGGAGCTCTATGGTAGAGCACTTGCCTACCCTGCCTGAGGCCAGGGCTTTGATTCCCAGCATTGCAAAACACTTACAAAAAAACCCTGTTGAAGAGGGAAAAACCTCAGGATATTCAGGCAGAGAACACATGCGGCTCAAAGAAAAAGAAGTGCACTGGCTTTCGAATACTTCCCCGAGGGCCAGCTTTGCCAGTGATTTCCAGCGCCTGGGCTGGGTGGTCTGCGCTCCACTCCTCGGCTGGCCGGGGAGAGAGAGGCAGGGAGACTGGAGGTCCTGCTGCACCCACAGAGCTCGAGCACCTGGCCGTTCTGCACTGGAAGATTTGCTACAGGGTCGGGGGTCCGAGCAGCAGTGCTGGCTGAATAATTACAGAACCTAACGGGGAACATGGGGCCAGCGGGCCAGCACGCTGCGGGCCCGTGAGGAGGAGGTGCGGGCGGCCACAGATGGAGAGTGCAGCGCTGGGTGCCGGGCACCTCTGGCCACTAGAGGAGCACAGATCAAACAACACCACAATTCCATCTCACCCAGGAAAGAACGGCCATCATTCAAAGAAAAACAAACGCTGGCAGGGGGAGGGGGCTTCTGTGTCAGTGGGACATAAACCCGTACAACCACTACGGAAATCAGCGCGGAGTCCTCAGAAAACTAGAACTAGAAATTCCACTCAACCCGGCTGCGCCCCTTCCAGGTGTCTTCCCGAAAGAGTTACGGGCCTCTTACAGCAGCGGCCCGTGCACACCCCTGCACACCCGTGCTCACAGCAGCACGACACACAACAGCGCAATCTGGGAAGCAGCCTCTGTGTCCATCAACAGGTGCGTGGATAAAGAAAACGTGTTCACACACGGTGGAGCACTACCCTGCCGAAGGAAGGATAAATTTGACTCGTTTATGGGAAAATGGGTGCGCCTCGAGACCATGACGTTAAGTGAAATAAATCAGACGCACACACTTAACTCCAGAGCGCACGGTTTCTCTCATAACGAGAAACCCGGAGCATAAATAACTTAAAGGGCAAAATAAAAGACAGATGCTAGGAGGCCATGGATACAGCTCAGCGGCACGAGCACCTGCCTGGCAAGTGCGAGGTCCTGAGTTTGCTAGGAAAGAGGGAGACAGACTTTGTAGAGGGGGGGCTCTGGGGTGGGGGGGGAACGAAGCGAGGCAGGGAAGGGAGGGGCGGGGAGGGGAAGCAGAGGAAGTGGAAGGACCTGGACGGGAATGTGTGCGCTCATCCCCACAACAAACGTGATTATTGCACATCGCAGGCATAATTTAAAAAGAACGGCCGGCTTGCTGCTCGCAGCAGGGTGACCGCGGCTGGCAGCTGTGCACTGGCTCGTAGAGCCGAGAGAAAGGGTTTCCAGGGCTTTTGCTGTCAGCGTTGGGGAGGAGGCCGGTGGGCCGGACCTGATGGCACAGTGCACACCCATGATCACCGAAATAGCGCACGGCACTCCGTTAATGTTACACTGTCTGTGCGTTAGCAGCTAAAGATTAATTTAAGTTTTAAAAATCAAACTGAGAAAAACCAAGTGCAACTGTCTGCATGGAATGCGGAGTCCAGGGTCAGGAGGGAAATGGGAGGGGGGCTGGGCGCCTGGGCCGGTGAGAGGCAGGTTTTCGCGGCTGACTTCCTGTTCCAGGCAGACCGGGCGCGAACGCCCTCTAACAAGCACTGTGCATCTTCCTCCAGCACTGCGTCTGGAGATCGCAGCGGGACGCGGCCCTCCACCTCCCAGGGCTTCTGTGTGCAGGACCGCGACACCCACCCAGCCCGAACCCCAGTCCCACTTTCAGCCAGTTTCTGTCCCTTCTGTGTCACCTGGCAGATCTCAAGGGCTGGCCGGGGACAGAGTCGGCCCCAGGGGAGAGGACAAGCTGAGCCCAGCCTCGGGCGGAGGTGAGGGAGGAGGCGCGGTCCTGAGTCCATCTTCCCGCAAGACAAGGACTGGGGGTCACTGTCCATCCCCCATCCCTCCTTAGTCTGCTCAGCTGGGGAAAAACGGAAAAGGAAACAGACAGATGGGTCCCTGAGCCTCGTCCACACGACGGCCTCTGGGACTTGGCACCCCCGTCCCATCCACACAGACGGAGTCACAGCCAGCCCCAGGCAGGCACGGGCCAGGTGACGGCAGCCGCCCCACACCCAGGCCCCGCAGGGAGGACGCCAGAGGGCGGGTCCGCGCTGCTGCAGTCGGGCACAGCGGACCACTCACCGGCTGCAGGCCGTGCGACCCCACACAGAGGCAGGCCACACGCAGAGCTGTGGTGACCGGCGGCTGCAGCCGGCTGTAGTATAGCATGGGACCGGCACAGGCCGAGGGGCAGCACCAGGGGGTGGCACAGGTGGGCACAAGCAGCCAGAATCCACACCACGCCCACCAGCCTGGGCAGGGGAGGCGCAGCCTGTCACACCCACAGCCGAGGGTGCTGCCCAGCCAGGCCACGGGGCGGGGCTCTCGACCCCCGCGTTCTGGGTCTCTCGCTTGTGCTTCTTTTAAAGCTGGGGATGGAACTGGGCCTGAGCATGCACGGCCACGCACACCACTTGTGTTTCATTCGGTATGTGTGTCTGTGTGCGCGTGTGCAGCGCGGGGGACAGAACCCAGGCCTCGTCTGTGCCAGGGAAGCGCTCACCACCGAGCTGCGCGCTGGCCCTCGGTCTCCGCCTTTCAGAGGAGAAGCCAGGGATTCCTATGCTTTAAATCTGAGACCTTCCCCAGTCATCAAGCCGGCCGTTTCTTAAGTTAAAATTTGTGTGGTGCCCGTGAGATGCTCGAGGTTCAGCGCAGGGCCCCGGGGAGCAAAGAACCCCAATCTCAGAGGTTTCCAGGAACAGAGAGCCCCGTCCTCCTGCTGAAAGACAGCCTGCATCACAAAGCCGACGGGGACGTCCCGTCAGTCACGCTGGCACTTCCATGCCCACAGACCAGCCGTGGAGGAGAGAGTCTCCCCAGAGACCGGCCAGGGAGGGACCAGGCCAGGGCCCAGCCTGGAGGGGAGGAGGAGGACGGGGAGAGGGAGGGAGGGGAAGAGAGAGACCAAGGAAGACAGGGCAGAGGGGGAAGAGAAGGGGAGGAACGGGGGTGGGGGAGAGTCCCGGCCCGCAGCCAGGCGCACGCCAGGCCTTCTCTGTGTTTACAGTTGCAGTGATTCAGTGTGTGTGTGTGTGTGTGTGTGTGTGTGTAAGACAGAGACAGGGAGACAGGGACAGGCAGGCAGGGACAGAGGTTCTCAGAAATAAAGCTGTAATCCTCCCCGTCCGCGTCCTCTGGCGGTGCCTGCTCTCATGCGTCCCTGGGGCGTTCGCGCCCTGGCGTTGGCTCAGGACCGAGCCCCCTGTGCCCCGTGCGTGCTCCACACCCTGGGCGAGCTGGTCTCTGCCTCGGCCTCCAGGGGCTCGGCTGCTCGCACTCCTGTTCCTTCTGTGCTTGCTTTTCTCTCTCTCCTGTACGGGTATTGAACGCAGGGCCTTCCGACTGAGCTACAGCCCCAGGCCTTTTTCGATTTTTTATTTTGAGACACACTCTTGACAAGTTGCTAAATTGCCCAGGCTGAACTCAAACCTGTGGGCTGGGGATATAGCTCAGTGGCACAGTGCCTGCCTGGCAAGCATGGGGTTGTGAATTCGATTCTCCGTACCAAAACCAAACACCAAAAAACAAACTTGAACTCAAACTTGTGATCCTCCTGCCTCAGCCTCCTAGTAATACTAGGATTGCAGCTGTGCCCTGCTCGCCTGCCTTTGTCTGGTCCAGGTGCAGCTGCAGGTCACAGGACGCAGCCGTCTCCTGCCCCTCAGCTCCCCCGTGCCCATGCTCTCCCAGCTGTTCCCTCCGGAGGGCTGGGCTCTGTGGAGCACTTGGCCGCTGTGCCTGCCTGTCCCGGATCAGCCTCTGTGCCTTTGACGGTGACATCAGCCTGCCTCTCATGTCCCCTCCGTCAAGCAGAAATTCCATTTTCTGCCTTTGCAACCTCCAAATTTCCTATGCTACCGATTAAAACAATGGCCCTTCAGGCAGACTGGCTGACAGCGCTCAAGGCTGAAGGGCGGGACCTACGGATGTGTGTTAGCCCCGGGGACCCAGAGCCCTCTGCACTGGCCAGATCTCCACCTGCTGTTAGGGTTTCCCCTGTGAATGCGCTTTGCTTCTTGTCCGGGGAAGGTGGAGAGCGTCGTCCCTGGTGTGACCGGGCGGCTCCGGCCTCCTTGCTCACCATATGGCTCTGTGTAAACACAGAGCTGTAATTACTATAATATCTGCTTTGGCTCTTGGCCTTCTAAAAATAGGGCCGCGGTGCTGCCCCGACCTCCTGGAAACGGACTGGACTTCTGGCTCTGTGGGCGCACGACTGGGCCCCTAGGTAAGGACAGGCGCCACCTACAGAAGGGCGAGTTGCCGGACTTTGGCGAAGCGGCCTGCAGCTCCTGGCAGCGCCATCGCAGATTTGGGTTCATCGGCCTCAGGACTGCGTGGTTGTCCGGGAGATGGGCCTATGGGTGGGAACCTGGGCTCCCTGTGCGGGTCCCAGCCCCGCCAGCCTGGCCCGGTCTCCCTTCCAGTGCCGGGTGGGGTGCGCAGGCTTCCTGTCTCTCTTCCTTGGCAGTGACCGTCCACGGCAGAAAAGGCAGAGAGCTGCTGCGCTTGTTTGCTCTGAGACCATTTTCCAAAGTAAACACTCACCTACCCAGGACAGGGAAGGATCCAGAGGACATCTGGTTACCTGGCCCCGTGTGGACAGACGCTCAGGGTCAGCTGCGCTGTGGACCTGGTTTCCCAGGCTACAGGCTGGGCTGGTGTGGCCAGCGCTCTCTGCTGAGCACCTGCTGGGCCCAGCAAAGGCCTGATGTGTGCGGATAGGAGCGCGGGGAGACCTTGACTATCCTTTTCTAAAACTAAAGCTTGGGCAGCTGCAGTGAGCAGGGTCCCCGCTGTCCCAGGGGCCCGGCCGAAGCCCCAGCACCTGGGCGTGGCCACCTTCCTGCCCCTACCCAGCATCCAGGGACACCTGTGTCTGCCCGGCTTCCTCCCAGCTCTGAGTTCCCAGCTGAGTCCAGGTCTGACCGGCTCTGTGACTGAGCGCAGGTCACTGCCCCAAAGGACACGCCTCGAGCCTGCCGTGTGAGTGCCACACTGCGCAGACACGCTTGGGCCTGCGCACTGGTCACGTCTCCAGCCCCTGGGTGACACAGCCCAGTCTACAGCCTCCTTCCTGAGCCAGGCGGAAGCAGAGGGGACGCTGAGCGGCAGGCCGGGAGGATGAGGAGCACGGAGAGCGGCGCAGAGCGGGCAGAGCCAGAGGCCTCACAGGCAACGCGGACACGGACGGGCAGGGCGGCACCCTCCTCGCCCTCCCTGGCTGCCTGCTGGGGAAGGCTTTTCCTGCCCTCAGCTCGACAGGGAGGAGCGAGCAGGGTCTGGAGCCAACGCTGAGCTCAAACTGCTCCTGGGTGTAGGGTCCAGGACAGGAGCTCACACATGGGTGTGTGCGATGTGCGTGTGCAGAGGAGTGTGTGCGGGTGCAGATGCACGTTGATGTGTGGACCTACATGGATGCCGTATCCAAGCGTGAAGCCTGGAAGAGGCCCTCCATTCTGTGGGGAACAATGTGCCGTGGACTGGCCTGGGGGGCCTTGTGAGGGACCCTGGCCCCAAGCCTCTCGGCCCTCCCAGCCCGGACACCCAGGCAGTGGCTGCCCACTCCTTCCCCGCCGGCCTCAGTGGGAGTGAGGTCCCCCGGTTGCCAAGCCGAGACCCAGCGTGTGGCTGAGGAAAACCCGAGGAGACCCACAGCCTCCACGCTTCTAAGACGTGGCTCGAAGACACGGGTGAAAGGGCGGCGGCACCATCCCTACCCCAAAGGCAGAGGAGGAAAGCCGAGGCAAGGACCAAACGTCTCAGCCCGCAGACCGGAGAGGAAAGCTGGGTGACAGTGGCCATGGGCCCTGAGCCCGGGCGGCTGCTCCCCACGGGAGGTAGGAGGTCTGAGACAGAGCCGGTGTCTCCCCACCCGAGAGCCCAGAGGCACCCTGGGCTGCAGAGTCCACGGCCCTGGCAGTCCCCAACCTGTCCACGTGAGGGTTGTGCCCGCTGCCCCTGAGCTTCTGCACAGAGGATGCCAGTGCCAGGACTGGCAGCTCTGGTGCCAGGCAGCCCTCCGAGGCCAAGCCCAGCATATAGACAGCAGCTCCAGGCATAGATGGACCCAGAGCGCTGTGTGGACGCCGGCCAGGGTGGGCCGCAGGCGTCGGCACTGAGGATGTGCAACATGAGGCAGAGGAGGGACGGACCCCGGCCAGCCCTGGAGAGGGGTTCCCTCTATCGTGAGGATTCCTACACCCTCCAGCAAAGGACGGCTGGACAGAGAGACAGGCTGTCACCAAGGCTCAGAGGCATTCGGACCGACCCACGGGGACGGCAGAGTAGCCGGAAGCAAAGTGTGCCTCCTGAGGCCCCTGAGGCCTGAGGGCTTAGCAGATAAACCGACAGGCAGGAGCAGCCCGGCCGGGCGGGGTGCCTCACCTGGGTGGTCCTGGGCCCCGGGCTGGGCTCCATGCCCCTGCGTGGAAGGCGACAGCGTGAGCGGGGAGGGCGCAGATGCCGCCCACAGCCACTGCCCCGGCCGGCGCGGTACCTGACACACACAGCAGAGGAGCAGCAGCCAGGCGTCCCCACGGCAGGCGGGCAGCAGTGTCCTCATGGTGCAGAGTCCCACGGGCCGGCCACACCGCCTCCTACCTTCGCCTGCCCCGGGAGAGGGACATGTTCCCGGACGGGCAGCTGAAAGTCTGCTCCGTCGGGAGTGTGAGGGGCGTCTCCTCCCGGGCTTGGAGCTGGAGCCTGGCCCGGATCACTGGCGGACGTCCCAGCCGGGAACGCTGAGAAGCCACCAGCCTGGCCTGGGGAGGAAGGCAGAGCTGCCCCTCGGCCCCCGCGCCTCCGTCCAGACCCCGTGGACACGATGCCCCTGTGCTGCCGCCGGTTGCTTGGGACGGGACGGGACAGGGCAGGAGGCTTCCAGTGACCCTCCCACCGCGTCCAGGGCGGGTGGAGCAAGTGATGTCAGCGCCTCAAACTCGGCCCACTCCCTATTTATATCCGTCCCGGCCTCAGGGTCCTAACACCAGCTGTCAGGACGGCCGTGTGTGTGTGTGTGTGTGTGTGTGTGTGTGTGTGTGTGTGTGTGTGTAAATGCACGATGCAGGGACCTCCCTGTGGCCTGACCCGTGCGTCTTTTTGACCTCTCTTCGAGGCCCCCATGACAGCGCCCTGCCCCACCCACCACCTCAAGCACGGCACTGCGGGAACCGAGGCCACCCCTCAGCCAGGGTGCCTCGGTTTACCCAGGGCCAAGCGTTTCTCCAGTCTACTCCAAACACAGCTGTCACTGCAGTCAGGCGTGTCGGGGACGGCCCTGGCACACACGGCCCCGCACTGCCCGCTCTGCCCAGCCACTCTCTAAGCAGAACGAAAGCCCTCCCTTCTGAGTCCCCACCGGGAAGGGAGGAGCCGCCTGCTGTGGGAGGCGGCGAGCGGCGAGGTGAATGCACACAGGCCCAGCAAGGGCCCCTAGAAACGCAGCGCTCTGTAAACGCCCCGATGACGCTGTAAAGTGGGGAATAACCCGGACAAGGGTCGGCTCCGCAGCCCTGAGGTCCTGACTTTAAGTGGGAATCGAGAGCCGGCCGCACACTCCCTAGAGAGGGAGGACGCCTGCTCGGGAGGGGATTTCCACCAAGGCGACGACCTCAGCTGAGCAGGGCAGCCGCCTCCCCGTTATCTGATCACGGAGCTCCCCACAGCTGCGGGCTGGAGCACACCCCAGATCTGCCCTCCTGGGCCGGAAAACTGCTCTACCAGACTTTGCAACAGCGAACTTCCCCGCCCAGCCAGTGCTGCAGGGGGCCAGCTCGAGGTTCTCTTTCCCGGGTTAGTGCTGCCCAGGCCCTGCCAGCGCTGAGGGCGGGGCAGCCGCCAGGGCCACATCTGAGGCTGGGAAGAGTTCAGCAGATCGCTGAATACATGCGCCGTCCCACACCCAGGGCTGAACAGAGCCAGGGCCTGCCTCTCTCTCTCCCTCCCTCCTTCCTTCCTTCCCTCTCTCTCTCTCTCTGTCTCTCTCTCTCTCCTGAGACAGTCTCATGTAGCCCAGGCTGGCCTTGAACCTACAGCGATCCTCCCGCCTCAGCCTCCCAGCACTGGGATGATGAGTGAGAACCACCACGGCCGGCTGTGCATCCTTCAGGTCCTAACATTCTCCTTGATAAAGGCGGGCACCCAGCTCCGCGGCAGGATGGAGATAACTGTGAAATGTGCAGTCTGCAGAGCCCAGGCCCCGGCTCCGGCCAGCCCCGCCCCCTCCCTCTGCACCTGAAAGCGGCATTTCCGAAGCTGTGGAGATTCAGAAATCACCTGCACTTAACTGACAAATAAAATGCAGGCATCTTTACAGGGCATGGAGACTCCTCCCTCAACACCCTGTGAATCTAAATCTGGACAGTCAGATGTGACCGTGAGGCTCTGAGCTGTGTATTCTGTGGAGAAAGATTATGCCAAGCCAGTCAACACAGCTGTCATCTCAGCATTTTTTGATAAGAATGTTGAAATGGATTGCATTAGCAATTTTTATGTTTGGTTTTTTTTTTTTTTTTTTGAGATAGGGTCTCACTACATAGCTGAAGCTGGCCTTGAACTCACTCCATAGCCCAACTGATATGGAACTTGAGGGTATCCTCCTGCCTCAGCCTCCCAAGTGCTGGGATTACAAGTGTGCACCATCACATCAGCAACAGTGTTTGAATACACAGCACACGCGTGTTAGCCGCAGTCACTGTGTGCACAGGTGAGGGGGTGCTGCTGAGTAGGACCCCACATTCCGGATGCAGATGAGCAACTCTGCCTCAGCCCAGGATGCTGTTCCTAAGGGGGTCCAGCCTTCGCTCCGACTGGGCTTTCACAGGGACGCTGCCAAGCGGGCCGGCTGGTGACAGACTGACCACACCGTTCACTCAGGGACAGCACAAGAGAGACTGAGCCCTGTCCCAGGGCGTGTCTTTGGGCCCAGCAGCTCTCAGGTCCCGGGGCAGTGTAGATCGCTGCAGAATCCCATCAGAGTGACTTAACACACAAGCACACACCACATGCACACAGAGGCACACAGGCACAAAGACGCGCACGTGCACACACAGCTGTGGCCCAGCCGAAGCGCTGTCCCTGACTCCTGGCACAAGCACTGCTGACTCATCTCCTGTCTTTCTCGTGAGGTCCAGCTTTCCTTCCAAACCTGTGACAAGCATGAAAAGCATGAGAAAGAAACCTGGGTGTGGTGGTGCACCCTGGAGGCTGAGGCAGGAGGATCTTGATGCCAGACTAAACTATATAGTGAGACCCTGACAGGAAAGAGAGACAGACAGAGACTGAGACAGAGACACAGAGACACAGAGAAAGGAAAGGAGGGCAGGCAATCAAAACTATAGGATAGAATATTTGCATAATGTGATTTATGCATTAATTGTTCCCCTGGAAGAAGTGAGCACCCTCAGGAAAATGGGGGACTTCGGCAGAGAGGTGGAAATTGTACCTGGAGGGGCGCAGAAATGCTCACCTCCAAACCGGAGAGCCAGAGAAGCAGCCTGCCTGAGCTCCCACTATGCCGGCCGGGAGGAGGAGCCACAGTGCGAGAGACGCCATCGGCAGACAGGACGCGCGGTGCAGGACAGAGAGGGAAAAGCCGCAGATGAACGGCCAAGAATCAGGACGCCGGACTCGGGCGGCCAGGCATCTGCAGCAGGATAAGTGCAGACGCGCACATGCGGGAGCACATACACACACACACATACACACATGCACACAGAGAGATACACATACATGCATGCACACACACACACATAGACACACACAGAGAGCAGAGACACACATGCACACACACACAGAGACACTCACACACACGCACGGGAACAGAAATCAGTGCAGGCTCCGTATCAAAGTCCCGCCTCAGGACAGGGTTTGCGTCTCTGGCCGGGGTCCTGCACGGGAGACATTTCTCCAGAGTGCCAGGCAGGACGTCTGGGAATGGGGCGTGGGAGCCCCCCCCCCCCCGCAGAACAGGATTTCTTCTTCTCTTTGTTTTATTAGTCCACGACCGCAGTGTGCAATGGTCACACTCACCGCAGGGCTGTGCACACGTGTAACTCACCTCCGCTCTCACTCGCCCCCACTCCTGGTCCCCGCCTCACCCCCCAATTTCCTGTTGTCTCTTATTTGCTCGTTAGCTGGTGTTTACTTTGGGCTTCTCATACAAGAGGCACCACGTGTATTTAAGCTCATGGGTGAGGGGTTGTTTTGGGCGGGGGTGGAAATGTTTTGAAGTTAGTGGTGATGATTGTGCAGCCCTGTGAAAGTACTACAGCTGAATGTTCACACCTGTCACCCCAGCACTTAAGAGGTTGAGGCAGGAGGATTGCTGTGAATTCGAGGCCAGCCTGAGCTGCATAGTGAAACTCTGTCTCAAAAAACACAAAAGTGAGTGTTATTGTATATGAGTCATATTGCAATAAAATGAAGGAGGAATAAACACTTTTCCAAACAGAAACACAAAGAAGTCGCACGCAGCAGAGCAGAGGTATGAGCGAGACACACAGGACGCACCGGAGACCCGGCCAAGCACCAGCAGCACTGACCCACACTGCAGCCCGCTTGGCTTGCGACAGACACACACGCTTCAGCCAGCAGCGGGTGAGGGACGAGACCCGCAGCGGTCACCATCGTAGGCACGTCCTGGCCCTAAGACAGACTCACAGGGACAAGACGCTGAGCCGCGTGAGGGCTGACCTCCAGTCCTGGGGGCCGTGGACGAGAAATCAAGCCAGAGAGACCGTGCCAATGACGCAAGCCACGCACTTCCTTCCCTGCCGACGCCGGCTTGGCATGCGTCCTTCTACACCCGGGAAGGAGCCCTGTGCAGGCCTGAGATTCTGCCTCTGGTCCAGGCCGGAGTGCGGGCTCCAAGTCCACCGTTTGATGGGGTTTAGGAACGGGTTGCACAGACGTGTTCCTGGAGACCCTTCTGGGCCCGCCTGCAGCACCCAGCCGCTCATGTGGGGAGCCTCTGGCCTGAGCTCACCCCACAGAGCGGTGCTGGGTGCTATGAATGGGACCACTGCCAAGGCCCAGAAAGTCCATAGCGCCCTTCCCCGATGCCAGCGTCCACCTCGGACCCCGTCACCCAGGGCTGCTGCCCCCGGCCTCCCTGTCGCTCCTGCCCCCTCTGCCCGCACTCGAAGTCTTTCGGTCTCCACTCCTCACCGCTCCTGCCGTGCAGGGAGAACCTGCCCTCCACGGTGCCTCGGGAAGTCGGGAGGGCCGGCTCTTCCTGGACCTCAGCCCCCTCAACGCTGCTGCCTGTAGCACAGCCACAGACAGACGGACGGTTTGTCTGCTGAGGTTTTGTTTGGCTTGGCTTTCTGATCTGAGGTCACGCTCTCACTATGTAGTTCAGGATGGACCTAAAACCTCTCCGTAGCCTAGGCTGGCCCTGAACTCATGGCAGTCCTCCTGCCTCGCCTCCGAGTGCTGGGCCCCGGACTTGCTGTGATTCATCACCCAGCGGTGACAGGAGGCAGGCCCTGGCAGGCGCCTAGGTCCTGGGGGCAGGAAGCAGCAAACCAGGGGTGCGCTCCTCAGAACCCCGGGAATGGGAGGCCCCGAGGCTGGCAGCTGGAGTGTTCCGTGCAGCAGCCTGGGCCACAGAAACACCACCCACGCCAGGCCCTGTGCTCCCTTCTCCTCTCTGTCCCACCTCGGGGACCGTGCATGCCAGCAACTTCAGATCACTGCTGCCCGCTCAGAGAGTGCGCCCCACGGAGGACGCACCCCACTGAGGACGCACTGCAGCGGTCAGGGACACAAACCTCTGAGCTGACAGCAGCAGTGCTTGGGTGAGCAGGACACCTCGAGAGTGCAGAGGAAGGGAGGACAGGACGGGCAGCTGGGTCCTGGCATTGCCTCAGCAGCCATGCCTCTGTGGTGCCACCCCGCCCTCTCCTCTGGACAGC